CTCTCTCTCTCTCTCTCTCTCTCTCTTGCATCTCCAAGGAAACTGATTGTTCTCTACTAGGTTTTCAAGGCATTCCATGTCAAATTTCAATCCAGAGAAGTCAAAAATTTTGGGAAAAGAAGTCATCAATTTAAAGCTGGGTGAGAAGAACCATAACTGCAATTCCTGCACTCAAGGGGCTGAGACAGGGGGATTACCATGAGCTCAAGACCAGCCTGGGCTACAGAGTAAGATCTTTCAACAAAACAAAACAAACAACTATAAATATTTATCTGATAAACTTTACAAAATGCATTTGCCACGTGGTTACCTTTCACTGCCTACTTTAAAATCATATAAAATAGTTATGATACTTCTCTAAAATAGGGCTGTAAAAGCTTGTTCAGCTATAAAGTATATAAAAATGTTTTAGAATATTGAGACATTTTCCACTGTCCTGAGGATGGCATTCTCAAGAAAAAAAAATTGAATCAATTATGGTTTAATGTCACTATGTCTCATATAATCCTTAACAGTTGATTTAAATTATTGGTGCCTATTAAGTATGAGTATATCCAACATATAGTCACGCAATGAATAACTATCCACTGATCACCTACTGTGTGACAGGCATTCTGCCAATCTCTGAGCATTTAAAGATAGATAAAACAACTAGATAGCATCAACTCGAAGAGGGTGGCAAGCAAACACCAATTATAATGTTTGATAACTGTTATGGAATCATCAGCAGAATACAGGCATGTGTCCTTCTGAAGTCAACCAAGCTGAGCACTAAAGTTACCTAAGGCGTTTATCTGTCAAAGAAGGTGATTCAAAGTGTCTGATGTGAATACCTTTAAATTCCACCAGACAGTGACACACAGGACAAAGACAGAGGAGGATTAATATCTGTTGACTGCCAGCAAGTATGAAAGTGTTTCGCAGGTATTAAATAACTGGCAGTCACAGAGTGAGAACAGCATTATTAATTCCATTCTCTTGAGGAGAAAACAAGGGGTTCTGGAGGTAAGCAAGCTGTTTCCAGGCGTGAGACCAGCATAACCTAGACTCAAGCCCAGTATTCCTTCCATAACTTCAAGAATGACTACTGTGAAAGTCAAGTTCAAGTACAAAGAACCTCATCATTTCCAGTCATCAGCTTAGATGGTCTCTGAAAAGCTTACCTATAAAGTGCACCTTTAAAACTGATGCTCCTGATGACAATGTGCCTGAAGATACCAAGAACAGCAGAAGGCCCGAACATGTGTGTGAGTGTCATGCTCTTAATCAGCAGTTGTTGGACTCTGGTCACCATAGCATGTGGGTCTCTCTTTGTTAAGTTTTGCATTCTCCTGCTCCTTTGATGGGCAGTATGTCAGAAGCAAGCACAGAATCTGGCCTTCAACTGCAGAATTCCTTTCCTCCTCTATCTGCCATCTGAATATGAAAGCAGACTTAACAATGCAAGCCAAATTGTCAAAGAACTCACTTCACAAGGACAGGAAGGAGGAGAAGGCTTCTGAGAGTTGGTTTCATGAAGAAATGTTTTCTGGTGGCACTCTACTGTTTGCAAATGTATTACGGACCCAATGCTTCTTCTCAGCAGCTAGCTATTTGACTAGAGAGAGGCAGAAGGGAGCATGTTGAGGAATTAGTCAAGGCTCATACCAAAACAGGGGTTGGAAAAGCAGCAAATGTTCTTCAGACAGAATTGAAGTCTTTTAAAGGTGAATTAAGACAAGATCAATTGCTAAAGTTTGATATCAAAGCAATGAGAGAGAGAAGACATTTCAAAATAACAGTATAGAATGGAGTGTGCTCTTGAAGAGTTTTACACAGCAGTTTTCCACTACTTTCTACTCAGTCATTCATTCACTCACTAATTCACTCATTCATGGAGGGCTAAAGCCCTGTAAGGAGACAGAACTGACTGAGGAGTTAACATCGTAGATTGCGTGGTCAAGGATGTCCTTCCAAGGAGGGGACATGAGCTGAGCTCCGAATGTCACATGAAGAAAGCTAAGTGGAGAACCAAGCAAAGAAGCTTCCAGGTAAAAAGAATGAACCAGAGTAGGATGTGAAGTACAAACAAGGAACAAGATTCAAGGAAAATCAAGAAAATGGGTGATAGGAATCATAAAAACAAAAAGGGCTCTTAGGGGAGAGGTGTTGTGCATCTACTACTGGGCTGGAGTGGGGTGGGGCAGATCATGCAGAGGGCCCTGAGACCAGAGAGGAGGTGGAATTTTATTTGAAATGTGACAGCAAGGCAATGAAATGTTTTGAGCAAGAAAATGACATTATATAATTGACGTTTTCCAAGTCTGAGATATGAAAAGCTGACCACAGGACTGTAAGACTGTGGATCTGAGGAAATCGGTTTTGAAAGCTAGAGTAATTGCCCAAAAGATGCTAACAGGTGCTGAGGCAAGAGCAGGTGAGACGGCCATAAATACACAGTTTGAGACACGGTGAAATGGATCTGTGGTAAAACTCAGGTTTGTGAACTGAGTGCAAGCTGCGGCACCACTAGCTGAACTGAGGATGGATAGAAAAGTAACAAGCTTGAAGGAAAACAATTAGAGTTTAGTTTTATGCATGTCAAATCTAAGACACCTAGTAGATACCATGAAGGACAGCAGGAATTCATCTCAGCCAGTGTTAGAGCTGGGAGTCAACATTAGCAGAAAACAATGTACCACATGAGTCAATGAAATATCTGAGGGACTTCCCAGATATTTGCAATGGACGTAGATAAAAGAAGGGTGGGCACCGAGTCCTAGGGCCCCTTTACCCAGAGACCAGGAAGAAGAACAAGTGAAAAAAAAAAAAAAACAAGGAAGCTTCTGGCATAGAGGGCAGAAACAAAAAAAGAAAAGACATCATGGAAGACAAGAAAATCAAATGTTTTAAAAAAGATGGAGTAAATGACCAGCTTTCAGAACTGTTGAAAGCTAAATAAAAACACTGTATTACAAAACCCAACCTAACTGGACAGAAACTGTATTAAATTATTGACTACTCATGCTCCCTTCAGCCAATGTCAGTAACCCACAGGTTTCCCATGGAGGTAACTAGATTATGTGATGTGCCTCGGAATGGTGTGAGGTGAATAGTAGGTACTCAATAGCTGAGTTGTTTTAGAATGACGATATGATTTTGGCCTTTTACGTTGAGCTTTCTTATTGGAAACTGAACTTCTATTTGTTCTTCAGAAAAGATGTGACCAGTTCCAAAGAGGAGAACATAGTCCCAATGCACAGTGATTCGCATGACCAATTGTTTTTAATCCTTTAGTAACCTAAACTTAGGCGATTTGATTTTCTTGTCATTGCTTTCCCTATACGATCAAAAATGATGCTTTCTTTACTATTTCAAACCCATCAGAAAATCGCTAAAAATCTAAAATTCAATTTGCTCCATTACTGCTAATTTGAATAATGGCTGAATAAAACACAGGAAACGCTGAAGCAGCATTGATTTCTAAAACATTTTGCACTTCCCTCCTCCATCCCTGTAAAGTAAAGCTTGGATGCTACGCACAATTACACAAGAAAATCAAGAAGGCCATTACATTCAGCATTTTGTCATGATCACTGTTACCATGGCGAAGAGTAGGCGTAGTTTAGCACAGCTGCCAGGGGCGAGATCTGCTGGCCTTTTGTAAAGCTGAGTAACAATATAATGCCAAATTCGATAGCCTCCCACCCACACCCCACACTGTTGCCTGCAGATGCTACCATCTCCTTCTTTAATAATCTGGGCATGTGTCATCTTATTACTGTATTCTTCCTGTTGGCCAATGACAGAGGAGCACAGTTAATCTAGAAAGGTTGCCACGTGACCCACCTCTTGTTTTCATGGAGGAAAACCCATGGTGTGAAAACAAGAGTGCAATCATAAAAACCTGAAGATTCAACAGTTGAACTGCAGATGACAATGACTTGTGTTAGAAATGGAATGGATGGAGGAGAGAGAGAAACACAGGCCTGTGATAACTAGCAGAATAGCACACGACTTCCTTTCTTTTGAGTTTCAGTTTAGTTATAATGGGGATAAAAGTAACTTCCTGTCTGAGAAGATGGCTCAGTGGAAAAAGCATTGCTACATAAGTGGGAGGACTGGAATTCAGATCCCCAGCACCTAGGTCAGAGCTAGGCAGACATGATTATTGGCTGTGTATCAGCCGTGGGGTGGGGGAGAGGTGGTGCAGAGATGAGATCCCCAGGACAAGCTGGAATCAGTGAACTCTAGTCTCAGTGAGAAACCCTGCCTCAATAAATAAAGTGGTGAGTTATTCTGGAAGACCATTCAATGTCAACTTTGGTCCTTCACACACACACTTATACATAAGTATATATTCCTGCATGTATTCACATGCACCCATGTACTATAGACATGCCTACACATATGTACCCGCCCCCCCCCCCCCCCCGTAACCTCTTTGTAAGGACTAACTAAAATAACTTTCAGGTTCAGGCAAACAGCAGGTATCTGATACATCTGTTCCTACCTGCCCCCCTTTAACTGTGGAGATTTCCATCTCCTCAAGATGGTTACAGAATTTCATAGGTAAACTGTTTGCTACAGTTGTAATTTAAATCATTTTCATCTTTCATATGGTTTGGATACTGTCTTCAGAGACTGAGAATAAATTAATTTTTATAGTCTAAAAGGAAGCATAAATTCCACATCAAAAGGATAGAAATCCAGTGTCTATATCATATTATGCACCACAGCTTGTTATCCGTATTTTAAGTGACACTAATGTAATCACTGTAAAGCAGGAAATAGACTATACCAGTTTTGACCTTAAGCACAGATTTTAAGTTTTAAAAAATGAAGCAACATCATGAAAGCAGAGAAGTTTAAATTATCTGAAATGAATACATTAATCAGAGTCTATATTTACTAGGGAAAAAAAGGCTCCTAGCATTTTTACCAGCTAAACAAAATATTTTTTTCTAATGAGACGTCAGCTGAGTATCGTTTATCTTAAGAGAAAAATAATGGGACCTTACCTATTCCAGTAGCTCCAGAACTGGCCATGCAGGTAGGCGTGGTGGCTACATTCATCACCAAATGAGGCTTTGCTTTCAATCCAGTGAATTATGTGCCCTTCCACAGCTAAGGGACAAAGCATTACTAATACACGGCGAAGGCAAGGGAAGATTGAAAATCCTCGGCTATGCACTGGCCTCTCTATGCTTCACATTAACGAGCAGGGCTTTAGCCTCTGCCATTCACTGAGGGTGTAATTACAAAACAACACATTGTGTGAGTTCATTGCCAGGCACACTGGGGCCACAACCTCATCTTGTCATCCTCACCCCATTCTTCCAAACTCCCTTTCTTAGTGCTCAAAATGCTGCTCTGCAGCTCGACAAGGGACATGTTGAGAAGACCAAAGTGTGCCTAGCTGTCTGGCAAACCTATGTTTTAAAATTTCAAAATTTAGAGAAATGAGTTGAAAATGGCATCTCAAAAAGCGCCTTCAGGAGGCATGCTCATTCCTCAAGTATATGGAAAAGTGTTGAAGAACAGACTTCTTCTGAAGCACGTAGGAGATAATTTAAGATAATCTTTTCCAACACTTTTACCCACTTCAATATGGTATTATAAAGATAAGCTACTCTGAAAATATTTGCTAATGGCAATATGTGAGAAAAAAAATCCCCCTCTACACACAGATGCGTATCAAGCTCAAGGACTTACCAACTGGCACCTGTAAAATGAAGTCTGGTGTTTTGTCATAGCCCTTTGCACGGAGTTGATCTTCATCTGCAGGAAGAACAAACACTATCATTTATTGCGGCACTCCATTAAAAAGACAGCAGTATAATTGCTTTTCTTTCTTAAATATGTGTAAAAATTACTAATGCAGCCATACGTGTCTTTCTTACGTGTGCAATGCCGTGTCAGAATAAATGAATTTTCTTCGCAAACCTGAATCAGAGATACAAGAATGCTTCTTTGTCCTTTTTGCATTTTTATGTCTTTATTATAAACATCATTAATCCAAGCTGTCAGGAGCGACTTTTTTTTTCCTTTTGGTAATTGAAAATTCTCAAAATAAATATACTTACTGAAGGAAAGAAAAGGGATCTACTAGTGTCAGCCGTCAATATTGACAGTTTACAGTAAGGCAGAAGTACAGTGGCCTTTGCAATCAGGAAATAAACGCTTCCTTAAAACAATCAAGAAACTCTAGTTTCAATTAATAAAACTATTCCTATACATACAAAAAGGAGAAAAAAGTGAGATTGCCACAATTAGTTATCTTGCTTAATTCCTTAGGTATACAAGTGTTTCTGGCAGTTGAGAGTTTGACAGTCTGAGTATATACTTCTGAAAAGCAAACAGGCCTGAAGATATTTTCCCTATCTTTTCAAAGGCTTCTGTAAATATCAATGATCCCCATTGGAAGGGAAGAAAGCAGGGAAACAGGAACCCAGATAAAGTTTGAAAAACTAGCAAGGTGCTTGACTTAAAAAAAGGAAAAAACAACAAAAAAAGAAACCTCTCAGTATTTTCTAAATGCTGTCCTTGACTTCTAATGGCATTACAATGTGATTTCTGAAACGGAGAGTTCTCCATTAGATTTTGGAGTGACCTGGTCATTCAATTCCAGGCCTGGCTTTCTGTCTTCACCCAACCTCAACTAATGGCTCAACCAAGTAACAAGGAAGGCCGAGTGGTCTCTTCACACCTACTGGGCTGTTGACATTGTCATGCATCCCACTGGCCTTCCTGCATCAACTTTGATTAAAATTAATGGCCCATTCCCAGGGTTGGGTAGCTTATTTCCAATCCATTTGTCAGCCCAAGACAGTGGTTTCATGGCCAGTGTTGAGAAGCTCTGTTTCAGAGCATTCTTGTGTACATCCTGAAAGGTCAGCATTTTAAACATAAATAAGCTTTAATGAGAAGACACACATTAAGTAGATATTGAAGTGGAATGCTGTTAGAAGTGGGTATCTTCACTCAGAGTTTTGAATGCTTGATGCAAGGATTCAGAACAGTCTTCCCTCTTGGAAATACCACAAAATAAAAAGAAACAAAATGTCAAGCTGTTGAAATAAATACAAATCAAACTAGCTTAATTTTAAAACAAAAGAATTTGGAAATTGAACTACAGAAATGGACTGGCAAAGTCTCTAGCCTTTAACTTTACTCTGGCCATGAAAAACGTTAATAGAAAAGGTGTTTATTGCAATCAACCCTAGTGTTTTGAGTGATATTTTAAAAAAGTAATGAATAGTTTTAAAAGCTGGTTGACATTAAAAAAGATAGATAATATCTTATTAAAATTATCCTACCTTCATTAGCCTTTGCAGATGTTAAAATTTGTTTCAGAAAAAAAAATGATTATGTTTCTCACAGCAGCTCAAAACAAAACTTCAAAGGTCACCAAGCAAACCACGAGTGCAGTCAAATTCTTTAATCGCTGACTCCCCCTCTGCTCCCTGCACCAAAGTCACCGATGCGACTGTTGGGCTTCTCTAACGTGAAAAATTCAAATCCCAAACCCCAAAGCCAAACCTACCGGTGAGGCTAGGGAACATACCTGTCTTTTTTTGTGGAATTCCAAAGTACCAGGGGATAAAGACTCAGTCGCTCTGTCTGCCTTTCCTGCCCCCTCCTCTCTCCTCCTTCCATGTTCTCAGTATCTACCAAGTTGATCCTACAGTAACTGAGCCCAGTACAGCATCTCCACATCTGAGTCTTTACCACTGTTTCCTATAATAAGAGGTTATTCAAAACAACTGAAATGCCCTTTCTTTGACTTACTAAACTCTCACTGCCATAACACCTCCATATTCTATCCCCCATGTAGTGGTTCCCAAACCCATCCACATTTCCCTAGGGAGGGAGGGAACAACCTGAAGTTCAGGGTGTAGCCAGAAGCACTTGTGAACAGGCAGCTCACTGTGCTGGGCCTCCGGGAAGGTTCTGTCAATCATCACTCCACTTAGTACCGTGAAGGCCAGCCTATCTGGCCCAGCTTCCCATCTTTTATATTATGCTTCTTTCTTGGCCCTTGGATTCCCAAGGTGTTCCTAACATTAGAACACTATCTAAACTTCTGGGTATAGACTTAAAATTTGGGTGGCACACTCCATTTACAACTCAGAGGCCTGAAGCTACAAGCCTTGATCTACCCTTAGTTCTTCTTTCCACCCACTCTGTGTGGGCTCCTCTGCAGTGATGACGCCAACAGGCTTGCACACACTGATGTTGTTACTCTGAGAACCGGACTCTCTGCTGTCCCTCTCACTACCAGCATATTCCCCACACGGATTTGATGTCCAGAAAGGACCCTGAAATAATTAAAAGTGCATCTTAGACAATATTGATGTTTTCTACAACGCCTACCTGCCTACACAGGTGATTCTCTCTCCATTTAGCTCTCTGGGCGTTAACAGAGCACAGAGGCAGTGAGGCTGGTTCAAAGTTGGAGGTTTCTTTTGAAATTCCTGCTGTTATGACAAACGTCTGCGCCTCATCTCATTGCGGTTGCGAAGGACAAAGCAACCCCTTTCCTTCATGCTTTTTTCTTTCATCACTGGTGTTTTAAGTAAGGCCTCCCTCATCTGGTCCTTAGATTTGGGCAGTCTCTCCACAAACCCATTCTGTACCGGGGACTGTGCTATTATTGGGTAGCCATGATCACATTCCTACTTCTTATCTGGCTACTGATCTCTGCAGATTTCTCCTCTAAGACAGACAGGTGTGCAATCTAATTTCCCCCAAGAACCACGCATTTCATACGGGTTTTTATGGTTTATACACATACTTTAGCTAACTAGTTACTTAGGATTCTTGACTCTCCCTAGCTGAAACAGGATGTCTGAAATATGTGTTGTATCCTCAGAGAAAAAGGGTAGTTTGTTAAGAGAGGAGAAAAAGTGAGGGCTAAAATCTGAACTTGTACTTCAGCACCCTCACCCCACCCTGCCTCTCAGCCGTACCCAGTGAGCACACAGCAGATAGGGAGAAAGATTCTTCTAGTCAAGGTGCATTCATAAACCTATGCAGTTCACAGCTCCGAAACTCAGGGATCCCATGGTGCGAGGTTTCACCACCAAAATAATTACAAGAATATTATCACTTAAAAGCACAATGTTAGCCCTCATATCTACAAAATAAAGAAGTATAGATAATCAGAACCTCATGAAACAGTATTTCTGTGCTAATAACATCTTAGAGATGACTAGTCCCACATTCTAATTAATATATCCTAAAAGAAGCCCAGAGAAGTTGTCCACCATGACCTAGACTTCTCAGAGAGCAAAGAGAGAGCCCATGACAACCAAGTCCCGTTTTGTCCCCACAACTCTACAGTATTCTTAATTACGTCAATAATTAATCTGGATCATGTGTGCTATTTATGAAGAGTGAGGGATGCTCCTTTTCCTCTTGTGTGACTGGTAGATGGCCACCTGTCTGATACTACCTGGAGGAACCGAATAACCTTAATTTCCAGAGCACTGGTGGTCAACAAAACTACATCCAAAGAAGAAATGGAAGTTCATTTTAAAAACTACATTTAAATACTATTATTTCAATTATACAAAAACACCGCAGGTCTGTTTATTTTTACATTGCCAGGCCTGTTCTTAGGTGATATTGTAAAGAGGGATTAGATGTGCGTAAAGAACATTGTGAACATTTACTTTCTCTGTCCTTTGAAGTATCTCCTTGAAATACCCAAAATATCCAAAGCAATTAGTTACTAATTACACAATTTCTTTGTTTAAAATAAAGGATTGAGTTTTAGTCAGAGAACAAGGAAGACACCTCTGAAACCGGTTAACATACACTTAGGAATCACACTGAAGAATCACACTGAAGAATCACACTGAAGACCACTGGAAAATGTTCTCTTTAACCTGCACCGTTTTATCAAAATCTTTAAACCTAAGAAATATATCATTTCCTAAGAAATTGTGTAAAATTCCAGTTTGCAACATCTGAAAATGAGAAGGAACACTCTGAAGCGACCCGTGATTATAAAACAAAATACACCAAATGATTTTTAAAAAGAAATCCTTTAAAACCTTGTACATAATTACTGAATGCACGGGGAGCCCAAAGTCATGCATCAATTCAAATGAAAACCCCAGCTTATCTCTTCTACTCTAGTATTTCATGCGCCTGGACCACTTCCTTTTGAAACCTTAATTCAATGCTTAGAGCTGTGACCTTTCTTCTCTGTACGTTCCCTGCGAACAAGTCTCACAGCCTTTCCTGCTGAAGGCATCAGTAGAGCTTCGATAATAGTCGCCATTATATATGCGAACTGTGCAGAGGTACACGGGACACATATGTATTGAATGGGGAGACTTTGTCACACAGAAATGAAATCTTTACCCAACCCCAGATTTCATTACAGCCATTAGTTTCAACTTCTTCCCCCAAAGCCTCTTATCAAAGCCACTAATAAGGACTGCAACAGACTGCTCTGACCTCGTCCTCTGCTTATGTCTTTAGGGGACAATACTGGGGGAACCGAAGTGCCCTGAAAACAGGGAACAAACAGGAGGTCAAGAAGCTGGAGCAGCAGAAGGAGCGGCTAGGTAGGCCGTCCTGGCAGCCCGGTGTTGTGGAGACTGGAGACACAAACTTCAACAGCAGAGCAAATTACTGGAAATCCTTTTGGCCTCATGCTTCAAAGGACAGACATATCGGCATGGCAGATGAACGAGACACACCCAGACAGCTACTGTGAGGGCGCTAAGCTGTAACACAAAGACCGCAACCAGTTTCTCCTCAGAAAA